CCATTTTCCTTTACTTAAATTGGCTTCACCAAGTGAGCTTCTGCATAAAAGATACTCTCTAACAGGAATAAGTAGCAAGTTAGTACCTGTATTATCTAGTTCTCAGTTACAAAAGTAATGATAAAGTCTAAATGTTAAAAGCATTTACTTGTTTTGAACTCTTCACTACAAAACAATGAAAATTCTGTAAAGAGACTTGACAGATGCTTGCTATCCCATTTAATTTAGAAAGATACATTCTTTCTCCACAGGAAATAACCGTCTGAAGGCTTTAAGATATATTGTATTTGATTTTGAAATACAAATACATTTAGAGTAAAAGCTTGAAGAAGTACTTGAAAATGGCAACTTTAGATGTATGACAGGCTACTGCTAAGTAGCTGAAAGCCATTTTCTCTTTCTTTTTCAATTTTTTTTAGTGTTCAGTACCCCAGGTAACTGAGTATATGCTCCCAATGGCAGTAAAATTGAGTAGAAAATAAAATGGAATACCTAGTTTACTTGACAACATGCCTTTCAAGATGACTATTTTAGATCTCCAATATCCAGAAGTTACTATTCAGTAACTGTGAAAGAATTATATATGAGTCATATGTAGTATTTTGAAGTGTGCCTTTTTAACTGCTTCCAGTGAGAACAGTCTTTTACCTGGAAGGGAACAATGACAGAAAAAAGGATTTCCCACTAAAAGTAATTCTGATCAAAGGATTCTAAATCCTTCTATTCTGAAGCCTGTTACCACCTAAAATTACAGTTTGACTTGCCAAATCCTTTTTATTTTTTTTTTGCTCCTCTGATTCATCAAGGACTTTCTCCAAAATCAGTACATCAGAGCACTCAATTTTATTTTCTGAGGCACTGTCACCATTGTAAAAGCAGTCTGATCAAAAGAACTTTTCTCTCCCCATCAGACTTTCTAGAAATAAAAGACCTGCTTTCAAACAAAGGAAAAATCTGAAAAATTCTGAAAGATACAAGCAGTTGAAAGCTGTAGGTTGGAAAGGAAACATGAGAAAAATTCCTATGCCTGCCACACTTCATGGAGTGGAGGTTTTGATATATTCTTAACGTTGTACTAATTACATAACAAATTATTCTTAGCCAAGCTTTAGCTTGTGTTCCCTATTCCATTTCATAGTCAGGATTCATTTTAAAAGTGACTACATAGCCTAGATCACAGAAATACAGAATGCTAGCTGTTACAGAAAGAGGCATTTTACCATGGTGAGAAGTCTATCAGTACCATTTCTGCCAATGTTCCCATTCAAATACAGTTGTAAGCAAAGACTTCAAATGTAAATGTACCATGAATAATTATGGGGCAGTTTACATCAGTGCTAGTGCAACACTGACTAGGAATGTCTCATATTCCTATTCCAAACGTGCTTTTAGCTCTCTTCTTGACGTTTGCTTTGCAATTGTGTGTAACAGACCTGTTTTCCAAGAGGAGCCTAAATTAATAAAAGACTTCTGGGTGGTTGAAAAGTATTTACAAGATGGATAATTACCTACTGATATTGTCAGATGCTCTTATCTTACACAGGAAGTGGAGATATTTCCCTTGTAAGGACTCTGAAGGTGGGGGTGTCTGCTTTTAACAGTAGAAGGAAAGACTGGTGGGAACAGCAGGTTCCTCAGATGCAGGACAGTTTGTAAATAGAAAAACATAAAGTAACAGTGAACAGCTTCCTGAGAAGGGAGGGGACAGGAAGCGGGCATTGTGAAAAATATGATAGGAAAGAACCACGTGCAAGAGGACAATGAGAGCAAAAACCAAGAAAGCAACAGACCATGAAAGCTGGGCCAGCTGAAAATGTCCCATCTCTGCTGGTCACAGGGTGTTACTGAAGGAAAAAGGAAAACCCTGCCTGCTAAAGACACTTGCCAGTGCCTTCACACTTTTCTTCCAGGTAAGGAACAAACTGCCAACAGACCCATGTGCAGCAGAGGTCTGTGCTTTAAGGGTGTGCAAACTTGGGGGATTGTCCATGCATTGTGTCAGCTCGCTCCTGCATATCAGAAAAAAATGACTGGAATGACAGCTTGGAACTATTAAGTGCTCCTCTTACTGTTCGCCATACAAACAGTGCTTGGAAGAATTGTAAAAGAATCAGAAGCATCTCCCAACCTCACCCTTTCTTCACATCATTCCACTGAAAGCTCAGCCTAGTTTCTCAGTTTGTGTCTAGAACATTTCTATACTCTGTGTCCTGAGCATCAGAAAGTCCAACACTGCCATTGTGGGAAGAGACCTACAAGCATCAAGTCCAACTCCTGGCCCTGCACTGGCCATCCAAAGACTCACACCAAGTGCCTAAGAGCGTTTTCCAAACACTTCATGAAGACCTGGCTGCTTTTGTGTTTCTGCCTCTTCCATTTCCACGTGCTACTGAGGGAGCACATCAGAGGGCCTTACACAAACAGATCATGATCAGGAGAGGATAGTTACCAGCAGGAACCCACAAATCACTAAACACTGTTCAATAGTATTATGATCCCTTGTGATAGGGTACAAAAAAATGTCCTACCTTAGTGGAAATGGCCAAAGTTCCTTTGGTAATGTTATGGCTGACAAGCTCTGTCAGGACCAAGCAAAAACTGGAGGACATTCTCCAGCTTCCATGGGCTCTGGATTGACAGTGCTAATTGATAACAGAGAAGGGCAAAGATTCACCTGTCACAGTGTTTGTGGCACATACCACAATTTAAGGATTAGCAAAAAGAAAGTCTGTGCTTTTTGTGACCTGCTGACACTGAGCTGTAATGTTCCTCTGTGTCTACATGGATGCCGTGTTCATGTTACACCTAGTAAAAACTTCATCCTAATCTGCACCTGGTCCAGGAGAGATAAAACTACACACAAGGAAAGGAAGGTTAATGAAAGCAAGGGAGAATGAAGCTTAAAAAAGCATAAGGAGAAAAGGAATCCAGCCTTTTGTATAGCAACAAGAAGAAATATATTTAAGAAATTTTAAAAGGCAAGGTGAAGAAAATACTTATAAAATGTTTTTACTTACTAAACCATCTGGATTACTATTCAGTTCTTATATTTTAATTTAATTGAAAGGGAAATGCTTATAGAAAATGAAAGCTGTTCCTCTAAGTGATAGAAAATACCAGATAATTAAAAATTATGTTTTATAATAAAATGTTCCTCCTAGCAGCCTCTTCCAACTGTTGGTGATGGACTGTGGGACAATAGTGTATCAATAACTTGAACATACCCTGGAATGACCCATTTTTAAAGTATATAATCACAACATGTATTATTCTCCATGCAGTAAAATTTATCCTCTGCTGCATTTAGTTAATTTTATTGAAGGATTAGTGTATTGAAAGATCACTTCAGGAACTACTCTTACTCCTGAAGTTTATGTAAACGATTTGAGAGGTATAAATGGGTATCACAACTACCAATATAGTTTTATTCTAAAACAGTCAGGTAGGGTAGTTCTTCCAGTCTAGGCAGCAGTTATAATCGGCATTAATCTTTTTGAAGACACTGTAAAATAACAATAGAATACTGTAAGGATATGTAGAGCAGTGAAGGCTTTGTAAAACATTAGACATTTGCTGGGGTAATTGGGCCCCATTTCCTCATGGCTACCTATGTGAAGTATTATTAATTGGAGACGGCAGTCCTTACTGCCCCTCAGCTGCACTGGCAAGGCAGTGTTATGAGTACAGAGGAGGATGCTCAATGATAAAAAGGAGACCAGCCATGCCATAAGCCTTTTTGATCTCCAAGGCATACCGCGAATGGCTTTCCCCCTCACTCCCTTTGTTTCACTGCAAAAAAATCAAAACCAAAGCAAAACCAAGCAAACAAAAACAAAACAAGCCCTCAAGCCTCCGTATTTTGCACTAATTTATAACTGCCTGGAGGACTTTTCGAAGAATTAGATGACAAAGGGGGAGGAGGAGAATGTATTTCCTGGCCTGGCCCACACGTGCTCCACCTCACAAAGCCCCAGCCTGCCTTTAAGGCTTTAATGGCTGCAGGCCCTCATCTCTCCTGTTGTGGTTTCCTCTCTGCTGGTTGCATCTCTCATGTCAGCGGCTGAAATTGCTTTTTCCCTTCCCCCTTTTGTACCGGCCATACTCCCCTTTTCAGTTCTGCCTCGTTAGCTATTTTGAGCCACGCTTTACGTCTCCATGGCAGCAGTCCATTCACCCAGATAATTAAAAAAGAAAAAAAAAATTAAAGGGGTGGGAAGTATTAAGCTGAGAAGAACCGGCGACTTCCACACAGCTGTACTCCCACGGCCCTCGCTCCGTGCCACGCTGCCACGGCCGTCACGGCACGGGCAGGGAGGCTTAGGGAAGGATCCTAGTTCGGAAACACGGAGCCCCAGCACAAGCAAAATCCATGTTCCCAAAGATGCCTTTGGGAAACGGTGCTCCATCCTTCGAGCCCTCAGTATCCCAGCCGCTCCCCGCGGCCGTCCCGGGCGCAGGAGGCAGCGGAGAACGGGGCGCTCCTGCGGGTCACCCCGGGGGTCTCCCGGCCCCCCCGCGCCGCTCCCCTCACCTGACCCGCGCCCGGAATCTGCCCCGCCACCACGGAGACACGGCCCGGCCAATCAGCGCGCACGGCACCCATCGCCACGGCAACGTGCCGGCCAATCCGCGGCGGGCTCTCCCGCCTGGCCCCGCCCCCTACCCCCTCCCCCGCGGGGTGGTGCCGCACTTGTCAAAGAGGTGGGCGGGGCCGGCGGAGGGCGAGCGGCCAATCACTGTGAGGCTTTTGCTTTGGTGCCCAATGGGGGCGCGGCGGCCGCGCGGCCCTTAGTCCACGGGAGCCGAGCGGGGCCAAACCCAGCTGCGGCCGCGGCCTCCTTCTCTTCGCGCCCCCCCACTCGCCGGCGCGGAGTTGGCGGCGGCGGCTTCGGGCTCTGTCCCCGCGTCCCCCCTCCGCGACCCCGCCCGGCCCCGTGCCCCCGGCTCGCGCCGCCCCGGCAGCGCCGCCTCCGCCCGCGGGGCCCGGGCCGTGCCGGGGGAGGAGGGGGAGCAGCGCCGCCGCCGCCGCCGCCGCGGGCGGGCCCGTCCCCCAGCGCCCCCCCCGAACACCATAGGCGGCTCCGGCTCCAAGATGTCCAACCGAGTGCTCTGCCGGGAGGCCAGCCACGCCGGCAGCTGGTACACGGCCTCAGGTACCGCCGCCGGGAGTGGGGAGCGGGCGGCTGGGGCTGAATCAGCACTTTGGGGCCGCCGGGGCCGGTACCGGGCGCGGGGAGGGGCCGCCGGCTCCGCCCCCGCCGGCACATGGCGGGCGGGGGGGGGCTGGGGGCTGCCGCCGACGGGGAGCGGGCAGAGCCGGGGAGGGGGTGCCGCGGAGCACCCCGAACACAGCTGCCGGCCGCCGCTGTCCCTCTGCTCCCGCACGGGAGCCTGCAGCGGCGCCTCTCGGCGGAAACCGGCGCTTGGTCGTCGCCGGGGATGGATCGGGCCCCTCGGCTGCGCCTCGTGTGCCTGCCCTGCCCGGCAGCCGCGCCTCGCCGCAGCTCCCTGTGTCACGGCGGCGGGGCTGGAGCCAGCCCGGGGCTGAGCTTCGTACCGAGCGTTGCTCTCTGTCAGAGCCCACCGACGGATTTCAGAATTTTCAACTGCTCCTGGGGTTTTTTTTGTTCTGTTTTGTTAATTCTATGAGAAAATACCGGCTGTCCGGGATTAGAAAGTAGGGGGAAAGGTGTGAAAATAAGGAGGTTTTATTTTACTTCTTGTCGAGGTGTGAAAATAGGGGGATTTGTTTCTCGTCTTGTAGTCCAAGAAAACCTTCTATTTTTCCTTCCCGGGCGCTTTCTTCAGTAGGAGTGAAAAGTTTCTAAGCAATAATGCAGAGTGGCTCTGTCCATTTAAACATGTGGTACTTGCAGAAGAATAGAAGAAAAACGTGCCTTGGAGAGCGAGCTACAGATCCCCGCGCCCACGCCGAAAAAAACGGCAGAAACACATAATAATGGCTTGATAGCACATGTGTTCGGAGATAAGTTTTGTTCGGTTTTGGGGCAGAACCGCCTTTGTGAAAAGGATGCACGTTTGTCTTTTCAGAGCTGTTAATGAGATTTGTAAGGGATGTTCTTTTACTGGCCTCGGGAGTAAAGATGATTACAAAACTGCAGGTGAACGAGCTTAGATGAACAAGAGGCTGTCATAATGAGCAGTTCAGAGGGATGGGGGTACAATTGAAAATAAACCAAACCAAACAATGAAGTGTTGCATTCAAGATCCTAAATTAACATCTAAGAAGCACTGGATGTGAAAAGTCATACACCTCTCTTGGCTAAAATAGATGTGTTTTCCCCCTCTCCAACATACATTGATGAACGAGGTATGAGGCAATAAATGAAAGGGAAGAAAAGAAATACAGGGAGGAGGGTAACACAGGAAGAGGCGGATTGTGTGATAAGTAGCTGGGCTTCAAATGGTTGGGTAGGCATTTTCGAGACAACAATAGAGGATGATTGTTTTCCTTCTCAGCTTAATATTCTAAACATAATTCTTGTATCCCTTACAAAACTGGCCTTAAATTTTCATGCAGCTTGCAACTACATTTATTTCCAATCATGTTAAAGGTACAGATTTAACCATGTGCCAAGACATCAAAACATCAGAGCTTTGTGGTAATCACCTTGGTCCTGCAATTTATATTTTCATTTATGAGTAAGGCAGAAAACTGATCTGTGAATCTGTGATATGGAACAGCTACATGACCTTACATGCAAATTATGTGGTTTGTTTGGTACTGAGCTTCAAAGTCAAGTTATTACTGGATACTTGCAAATAAGAATTTTGATTAAAAAAAAAAAAGGCATGGATTCTGTGTTTAACTGTTTTCTATAAAAATAAGTGCATAATTTAGTTAGACTGTATTCTGGTAAGTGTGTGTGACTAGTTTGGCCAGTACTTAGTTGTTTGTAGTAGGGCGTCTGAAAGCTTGTTACTCCCATTGCATTTGGGCAGCTCTCTGGCAATTGCTTGTTGAGGAGATGAGGGATGGTTGCACAGACACACTGCATGAAAAAAACCCCCAAAGTGAATCATGTTGTAATAATGAATTATGACAGCTGGGCTTGTGACAAGTTAAGTTGTTGCACTGTGTATGGTGGGGGTAAATGGTTGATGTTGCATAATCTGGGGATTTTGGAAATATATTTTTCCTTAAATGAGCAAGGAGTATTATGTGTCTTGCTATACAACTCTCTTCTGCTGTTTGCACTGGGTATGTGAGAGCAGGAATTGTTCCTGTTCAGCAAGACAAAGACTACCTTTATTAGTAGCTTGAAAGCTAATTTTTGTATGCTATTTAGGGAGGTCCATCTAAACTCGAGAGAAAATAAATTTAGACGAAGAGGGTATGTGTTCATCATAGATTTAACTTAAAATCTTCCTATATTTCAGGCCAGATTCACATGTCAGTTGGTTCGTCAAACTTGTAACATAGGCTCCTCAATTGTATTACTTGAAGAAAGTGGATTTTACCATGTGTTTTCAGCCTGCATAGCTTCAAGGCTGAAGCTGAGGCAGGGATTAGTTTGAATTGTGATAGTTCTTCAGTGTGTTCCCATGGTTCTCCAGGAATTGTCTTTTCAAGTCCTCCTACCTCCTCTGTTCTTTGCACTACTGTCTCGGCCCAGAAGCGATTTGCTGTGTTATATATAAACTGGCGAGCGTTTAAGCTTCCCATTTCCTGCAAACTGCTCTCTTTCTACAGAGCTGAGTTTGATTACACTAAAAGGGTAATGAGAAATGTGATTTTTGCAATGTTCAAAATCTTTACATCTGAAAGAATTTTTAAAGAGGCTGAGTGAGGATAAGGTTTTTAAGTGGTAGTTTATCTTGAGGTGCTTGGTACCTAGGGCTAAAACGTCAACACACCATGCAGGATGATGCATGGCATCCTGGACTTGAGAGGGGGGTTTACTGCAAAAGTGAAGCATCCATTGCTATTTAAAAAAAAGAATTCTCTAAAATCTATCTATAGACGTCAGCTCTGGGAGAGAAGGGCCAAAGCCAGCTGAGGGGGAAGAAGACAAAGGATGGATCCAGAATGTAGTTGAGCTTTTGTGGGCAGAGAATATTCTTAAACTGGGTTAGCTTTCTCCTCTACACTCCAGGAATGGAAGCAGTATCAGAAGTGAAGTCACAACCACAAGGAAGCTACTACTCTTTGTGGATGGTCAATGCAGTGTGTGTAAGAAGGTTTGGAAGAAATGCCACCTCTTGTGCTCATTTCCAAGGGACAGCAATTGCTTCAGCTGAAAATAGACCCTTGCTCCATTATTTTCTTCGGCTATGGCTTATGTACTGCTTAGGTTCTGCCTTGGAAAATATAAACATGGACTCCATTCTAGTTTGAATATGCTACCTACTTGTATGATGCTAATGAATGCTGTAGAGCAGGTGGGACTGGCTGTGCAATTATGCATATCCAGGCATGTTCACATGTGAGTTACAGTGTTTCATTTAAGTAAACAACTTTGTATTAGAGGGAAAGTTAGGTCCCAGGGAGAAAAAGCTCACTGCTTCCTACTCAGTAAAGCTGAGAAGGGGGCAAGAAGTGGAAGATGAGCTTCACCATGATGTTATGTTATAGCATTTGACTTCCCATGTGTTCTTCATTGTGTGCTGTTGTAACAATAACAACAAAAAAAATCTAAAAACTAATTTTTTTAAGAAGTTTCAGCAGGTGAGTTCAGTATGAAAATTTTAACCAAAAGGATTGTTATATCTTTTCCCCTTCAATTCTTGATGTGGGGAAGTTAATATTCATTCCACATCAGTCAGTGCAGCATCTTAATGAATTTCAGGTGTATACCTCTGGAGCATTTGATGGGCAGCAAAGAGAACAGTGAAATCTGGTCAGTTGTTCCTCCTCCTTAGCAGCACCACTGAGCATGGGAAGTTTTACAGCTGAGCTTCCAAACTAAAACTGTGCTTTGACCATTGCTGATAGTAGGCCACTGGTCTAAACAGCCTTGTTTTTTACTTGCAGAGCTTGATCTGCATGTCTACTTTTTAAAAACATTAATGGTATATGACATGCGATTGCTTTTGTGGACTAGCAGCTTGATGTATGCTGGCCATTGAAAATATTTGCAAAATTTAGATAAAAGCATACAATGTAAATAAAAATATCACACAGCATTGCTGTCATGTAGATTGTTTTAAAAAATACCACTGTTGTGTGGTGAAAAATAGTACACTCACATTTATTTTTGGAAGAAAGTCTCAGTCCTGCTGTGTTAATTCAACCACCTAGTATCCAGACCTCTTGAGAAATTGATTTTTTTAACCAGCAGGTGGAAGAGGAAGATTAAGGACAACTTGAAACAAAAATGGCCTAATTTTCAGTGTCTTTGAATGCAGGCAGACATTCCTAGATACAAAAGGAGCAGATGAAATGCAATGGAAATGGCATGCTATCCTAAGCATAGACTGTATGCATGATAGAGGTGTTTATTCTTCAATGTGAGTAGATTCAGTAAGTGCTGGGCAATTACTGCTGTGGGAAATCAATCCATATGCTCCTGAAATGGAAATAAGCATCAGCTATGTGCATATTTTTTTTCTTCTGCAGCACGTCATGACAAGTGGGATGTCACATTACAGTGCTGAACATGGCTTATTGGCTCACAACTGGCCACCCTTGTCTGGCCCCTGGAAGTGCTAACTGAATACTGTGCTCCTTTATTAATGTGTGTGATAAGAGTTCTTGTTTCAGCTTTTCCCCAGTCAGTGGCATGGTGATACAGGTAAAACACGGAGGCTTTTAGTAGGCTCTTTCAGGTCACAGGAGTAAAAATCAAATTGGGAGTGTGTGTGAATAACTATACTGTGTGATGTGAAACTTGCCCTGCAAAACAAGTGTGTTGTTGTATTAGTTAGGGCTTATTTCTCTGCTTTCCCATACCAAACCATAGTGGCCAGAGGTGTGCTGTTAGTCTGTGCCAACTTGTTTGAACTAGGAGAACCTTAATTTCCATAAGCTTAATGCAAATGTGAGTTGGCAGAATAATTGCTGTGTCGACTTGAAATACCATAGCGCTCATTGTCTTCAAAGCTCTGTTTTTATGATGAGCCAAGTAAATGGCCAGTAAATATTTGAAGAGACTTTCAACTTAGTGCTGCATTTGTGTTTAGAGTTTTCTGC